CTTCTTCTTCTTCTTCTTCTTCTTCTTCTTCTTCTTCTTCTTCTTCTTCTTCTTCTTCTTCTTCTTCTTCGTTGTCCCTTCTTCTTCCTCCTCTTCTTTTTCACTTCTTCTTCTTCTTCTTCTTCTTCACTTCTTCTTCTTCTTCTTCTTCTTCACTTCTTCTTCTTCTTCTTCTTCTTCTTCTTCTTCTTCTTCTTCTTCTTCCTCTTCTTCTTCACTTCTTCTTCTTCTTCTTCTTCTTCTTCTTCTTCTTCTTCTTCTTCTTCTAATTCTAATTCTTCGCTTATTCTTCTTCTTCGCACCCGTTTCGAGCCCCATTCCCCTCCCTCCCGAATCGTCAGGATCGTGCCCAATCGCTGGTCCCCCCCACCTGCCCCTGTCACGCCCGTTGTGCTCCACACGCGCTCACCATCTCGATCACCCACCTGCGCCCTCCCGACGTCATTCCCCTCCCCCCCCCCCCCCCCCCCCCCCCCCCTTCCCGCTACCTTCCCACTCCTCCCCCCCCCCCCACCTCCCACCCCCCCAAATTCAATTTTTATTGCAGATTCGGCGTCCTCTAGGGTAGCACAGCACAACCCCACCTTCCCCCCCCAAAAAATAAAAGAATTCCTTGCTGGGTTTTTGCCACGCCCGGCCGTGTGGCGGCCCAGCCTAGATTCTCAGTGTATTTTGAGCTTCCGCTGTTCATATCTTCTCTCCGGTTGTGTGTGGATTTGCCTCCTTCGAGTCTACTCTGCAGTTGCATGCGTGTATGGGAATGTGTGAATTCGTTGAGGATTGAAGTTCAATCGGGTACATAACACTTCCCTGCCCCTGGGGACCACCGGGTGCGCGTAACTACAGCGGCTGCAGATCCCATCTTTCCAGGTTCAAGATGTCATGGCGGACCATTTTTTTGTGCATATGCATCTGTGGACATCTTCTTCTGGCCAGTATTGCCCTGCCTTGACCTTACGGAGTTGTGGTTGTGCCATCGCAGTCCCGCAGCTTTGTCGAAGAGGACGTACAGATCAGTTGGAGCGATTTGGAATCCGCTCCCGCCGATCCTTGTGACAGCCCAGTAAACGGCTGTGTAATTTTTAAGGATAAATTCCCCGGCTTAGCGGGCGAAGGTTGCTTCCCTCCCTTCCGGGTCTTCACGTCAACCGAGAAGTCCCACCTTTGCAGTGTGACCCATCCCTTCTGCTCTTCTCCTCCCCCTCCTGCGGGTGACAACCCCACTTCCCATCTTCCATCGGTCTTCCTCAATGGAAGCACCAGCACTCCATCCATGGTCTTGTACCAAGTTCCGTATCCTCATCCTCATCCCTTCCTCATCAGAGTTCCCCTCCTTCCCTTTCGTCGAGTTCCTACCTGTCCACGACATCAGCTGCCCCTGCCCTTGGTGTCCCGTGGGGCCGGGGACCTGGTCCCCCATTTGCACCACCTGCCCAGCCTGCCCCTCTGCTACCGGATGCTGTGTCGTGTCTGTGGTTCCAGGTGACCAGAACCTGGCCCTTGTGATCGTGAGGATGGGCTAGAAGATTTCTGCCCATGTGATGTGCACTAGGGGACCGTCCGTTAGTGCACCCGTCAGTGTCGGACTACTGTCCAGCATTGCATGCAACTCAATATAAGTTTGACCCCAGTGGTCATTGGACTCCCGCGGGTGCAACGTTTTTAGATTGTCAAGTAGCCAGTCCGCGATCTTCTGCATCTTGGTGTCCAAGTCCATCTCTTCTGGCAGCTTGTCGGGGTCAGACTGCCTGTCCATCATCACCACATCCGGGGGTGTGGGCAGGGAGTCCACCTCCATGGGCTGTGGACCAAAGGCATCAGAAAACGGGTCCGGGGCCTCCATCTCAGCTCTAGACTGCGACTGTGCCCCCAGGCCCTGCCCTTCTGCATCCTGCCATCCTTCTTTCCTCCCCTGTTGCCCTTCAGCCGCCGCCCGCTGGCTCGCGCCTCTTTCTCCTTCCTGCAGCTTGAGAGATGCCGTCTGCTGTGCCCTTCCTCCTTCCCCCTTACCCTCCATACTCCCCCTCTGTGGCTCTAGGGGCGTCCCCGGCTTTGGCTGCAATTCATGACACTGTCAAACCACCACTACCTCCGAGCCTCTTTTTGCCGAGTCCGAGTAGAACTGTGTGCCAAGCTTTGGCTGAAGCGCCAGCGCGGCATTTTTTGTTTGTTTTGGCTGGTGTCGCCAGCCTTTTTGGTCCGGTAGCGCCCAGCCTCCATCGGCCTCTGCAGAATGCTGTATACCTTATATTTACGACTTGGGCTTCCAGCCTGAAAGGTGGTGGTGGTTTAAAAAAAGGCAAGGTGAAAAAGATGAACAAAACTGGTTCCCATAGTCATTGAAATGATGACACTCTTAATTTCTTAAATCTTACATTCAACCTTGCAATGAGAAGAGAGAGTGCCGTTTGTGTTCAACGGCATGAAAAAGATCTCTTGGGGGCCTTGAGGCCAGCTATGGTGGCTGATTTCAGCCGCAAAGAGAACAAGTGATTCATACCTTCTGCCATTGGGAATACCGTTGGCGTTTTCCTTACACACAGTCGTTTCGAATCTGTCCCGAATAAAAGATGATGAATCTCTGGGCATCAACGGCCATAAATCTTCTTCCTCGAGGGGCTGTTTATACCCTTGCCACAACAACCCGTTCAACCACCTGCAAAAAAGAAAAAGAAAAAGAAAAAGAAAAAGAAAAAGAAAAAGAAAATCGGATTATTAACACAGATTGGATGACTTGCAAATAATGCAAGCCAAAGAAAAGACAGAAAGAAAAAGAACAGTCTCTTAATGATGCCCATTCGTATGCATTACTAGTAATACACAAAAGGAGGGAGGAAGGAAATGGGAGGTGGAGTTCTGAAAGGGTTCTAACTTCTAAATAGTGACCACTGTGCAGACCACTCTAGAATGGCACATGAGGCCAGTCAGTGTGTGGGTTGCATAAGATTTGAGAAGTCGTTGCCTATGGTAAGTGCCCATGGTAAGTGGCCACCTCTACAGACCGGGCCGGACCAATTTGGGTGTGGCCTGCGGAAGCACCACATCCAATTCTCACAGTCACAGTCACTGCAGCGAATGGCATGGCGTAGACAGATGTCACAGGCTGTGTGTGTGTGTGTGTTCTCATGAGTGCTGTGCCAGACTGTTCTGTCACACTTTTAGGGACCCGTCAGGGGTGTGTTTTAGATTTTCCCCACACCGGCCCCAATTCCACCCAGGTGAATAGATTCAGAATCAAAGCACTGAAAGCAGTCTTTGTCCTATTGCAGACAACGAGAGCATTTGAGATGTCCAACATATTAAAGCAATTTTATAATTAGACAGTTTTTTGGTTGTCCTTGGGGTACTCCTTTCATTGTTCTTGCAGCTCCCCTTTTACTGTGCCTCTTACGCACAAGGCTGCCCACGTTCATTGTGGTTGAGCGACCCATCAGGGGGGGGTGTTTATGTTTGTGTGTGTGTGTGTGTGTGTGTGTGTGTGTGTGTGTGTGTGTGTGTGTGTGTGTGTGTGCTGCAAGTCTCCACCACAACAGCCCTTATTCCACCCAGACAAGTTGATTCGAGTTGCCCGCCCAACAACTAAGAATTCACCTCTTTAGCAATCGCCATGCAATCGACATGAAACATAATTGAACCATTTTTAATTGTGTTTAGTAACTTTAGTTGGGGTTTCTTTGGGGCAACAGCTCGTCTTTTACTATGCCTTGCACGTACAAGGCTGCCCACGTGGATTGTGGTTGAGCGGCAGCTGCCTCTGCGTGTGTTTTTGTGTGTGTGTTTGATGTGTGTGTGTGTGTGTGTGTGTGTGTGTGTGTGTGTGTGTGCGTGTGTGTGTGTGTGTTTGTGTGTGTATGTGTGTGTTTGTGTGTGTGTGTGTGTGTGTGTGTGTGTGTGTGTGTGTGTGTTTGTGTGCGAGTGCCCGGGAAAGGGGGCTGGACATTCACGAGGAGGGTATATTGTTCATGCGTGCACATGAATGTGAGTGGGTGGTGGGATGGAGTCGGAGGATAAGAGGATGATGGGTGAAAGAAGGCAGGGGAGGAAATGATCGGGGCTGGGTGGAAGACAGAATTCCAGCATTGGACAGGGCTCAGTAGATGAGGTGGCGGAAGCGCAGCCATGTCAATCAGGTGACGTCCATGACCAGTCAGCCAGCTGTGAACTGTACAATGGGTTGACATGAAGGAAAAGAAAAGAATGAACCGACGTAACCAAACAACATGTTTAGTGCAAAAGAAGAGTAAAAAAGCAAAGAAAAGAAAAGCGATAAAAACTATTAAAAAGAACAAAACCAGAAACTGTGAAGAAACGAAAACCGATTTCCTGTCATATGGAAAAACGTCAGACCACCAATGGGCCTCTCGCGCCTCAGTACATCTCCTTCTGATTTGTGCCGAATGAACCTGACAGACTTCCTGTGGAGGCCTCCAGCTGTGCAGACAGATGGTACCAATTGGCACCACCCCGTTCTTGTCTGCCAACTAGTAACGGCCCTCTTTTAGCCCCGCATTTCGCCTCCGCCCATTGCCATGAGCACGAATGAGCATCGGAAAAAAGAGGCTCAGACGTACTGGTGGTTTGAGCCTCTCAACAGAGACGCACACGAATGTGAATTGCAAAATAATAATTGAAAATATCATTTGCTGCAAAAGAGAAGCCATTTCCCCGGACAATGTGACTGAACAGTTCACACATATAACTGTTAGTAAACAGATCAAGGGTTCAAAACCTGATAGAAGCACGTGAATACAATAATGTTATGGCCTCAACTTCCCTAAAGGGCAATTCACTGTCAGCAATTTGCAGAGAAGCCTTGGTCAATTCAGTATTTAAAATGATTCTTGAGAAAGCTCAAATTCAGTTTTTTTCTGGATTTTTATTCGCTTCGTTTTCACATCAACTTCGTTATCGTTTCTCAGAGGAATTTCTTTCTTTCTTCTTCTTTTGTTGTTGAGAAAACTTGGCTCGGGATGCCACTTAACGGGATGATAGAAGCATACATCTTAAGTGAGTCCCCGTTGAAGGCTCCATCTCTATTGGTGGGGAGCTGCACCTGCTGGAAACCAGGTACAGCGTCTTTTTATGGTGCAAAGAAAAGGCTGAGTAGTTGTGAGTAAGGTAGTGTCTGTGAATGTTAGCTAAACCTTTTCTTGCTCTATGCACCTTCCCTTGGCATCAGAAGGCAAACTGCCTCCATGACCGGGTTTAAGGATTTGTACCCTGGTAACCTTTTTCTTGCTCTATGCACCTGCCCTCAGCATCAGAAAGCAAATGGCCTGGAGACGTGGGCGAACTCAAACGGCCTGGAGACGTGGGTTTAAGGATTTGTACCCTGGTCAAAAAGCTCTTCATGGAGACGTGGGTGAACTCATAACTGAACTTTTTCAAATGATCTTTAGGCATAATTGCAGTCAGATACATGTAGGGGAGTCCTAGTGTAACGATGATCTTAGGCGTAATTGCAGTCAGATGCATTCAAGGTGGCTTAGAAAGACATAGGTCACATAGCCCAATAAAAGCAGTCCACAAAAATTCAGCATGAAAGGAGAGTGCACACTTACCAGAAAAACGTTAGCCGTATGATGTTTGCTGTCTGCTGTGGAGAGCCTTGAGCTTGCGGCATCTGGAAAAAAAGAAACAGCAATGAGAAGAGGAGGAGAAGAGTAGCAAGACACACCAAGCAACAAGTTATATCCCAGTATTCTTTTTCCTTTTTTTTGGATCCTTTTTTTTCTCTCTTTTGAAGTTTTTTTCCTCGTTTTAGCTCTTTTTCGTTGAATAGAATGCTAGCTACAATGCTGCTACATGACATATCGTTTTTTTTTTTTTTTTTTTTTGAACAGTTGCAGTTTTATTATATAAAAATCCATGAGGCCGGGGCCGGGAATTCCTCAACATCTCAACCCGAACAGAGCTGGGGCCATTACCCAGATTCGGCACAAGCTGGAAATCGGGTCCAGCGTCCCTTTATCCGCAACTTCAACAAAAAGGGAAAATGGACTAAGAAATGGCAAACAGAAATAAAGGAACAGCCAGGGTACTGAACCCCGGGAGGTAAAACCAGACTCATTGTTTTTTTCTCTTTTTTCTTTCCCTGGCTACATGACGTATCATTTTTTATTTATTACAGATTTTGAATTTGTTAATGTTTATCTTGCCATGTCGTCAAGAAGAAGCCATAACAACCATCACAACCTACGAGAGGAGAAGCGCTGCATGCCTGGGTTGCATGTAGGGCACTAAGGGAGGCTATGCCGACAGGGAAAGACTGGAGGAGGTCCTGACGAACGACAGTCAATGTGAAGACGGAACAGCCCATGTTCATGCATCTTCCTGAATTACAAGTGGAGGTTTCCTTTGCCCCGCAATACCC